ACAGTCTAGCGTGACTGATTAGCCGTTAAATCTGGAGCAACCAACTGAGTTAAGATACGGCAGGTTAGGATTAGGTCACCTCTAAGCCTGCGGTAGTGCATAGAACGCGTTCTCAAACTAAGTAGACGATCGCAGTACGTCCTTCGCTGTACTCCATTGATACCCGTAGTACCCGCACGTAAAACCTTCTCTAGCTCCATTTATCCCGGATAAGACAAGCGGACAAGCCTGGAAACACTGTTCCAGATGAGGCCCAACGCAATCGGGGCACAATCTAGTTAAAATGCTGCCCGTCCAGACGCAGAAGCAAGGTCCTAATAACCCCAAAGTGCGAAACCTCTATTTGGACCTTCTTCCAGTTGTCGCCGGAGTGTAAAGCCGAAGGTTGTACGACGCCAAGTCAACCTGGCCAGGTACACAGGAAACTACGACAATACCAACCAAGTACTGCGCAGGATCACCTCCGCCAAGATGAAAAACGGAGCATGCTTCTTGGTTTATGCCTAGTACCCATAAAGTAGACCAGTCCCAAAGCTTATCCGAGTAGCACTGAATAGCTCCGAAACTCCCAGGAAAGTCGGCAATGTTCCACATCTTCAGGTTCTCAACAAATAGCAGCGATGGCACCTCAAGCTCCGTGGGCAGGTCATTCACATAGATAGAGAGCAGTACCGGTTCAAATAGCGAGCCCTGCGGCACGCCAATTAGGAGAGACTGCCTACACGATAGGACACGACCTACCAATACAAACTGTTCTCTACCATCCATTAAGGCAGTCACCCAATGGAGGGTGCTACCAGATACCCCGTAGAAGCTCAGCTATTGTGCGAGCTCCAAATGTGGTACCTGGTCATATGCCGTCGAAAAGTTGAAGTAGAGCAGTTCCAGTGCGTAGTCGATGTCCACTGCGTTAGCCCCAATTTTGCGTACTAACAATAGCTTTGTTAGTTACTAATACCTATCCCAGAATCCGCATTGTGCATTGTTAACTAGCTTAAGTCTACTCAGCTGACGCCAACGAATCTATCACCAGTTGCTCCTGGAGTTTGACTTCTACACTCTCCTGATCAACTGGTCTGTAATTATTCGGCTGGCTAGCCGAGCAACCACCTCGTGGTGCCAGCTGGGTGGTTCGGGTTTAACCCCTTCCAGCAAATAGTTCGGCTGCAGTATTCCAAGACGTGGTGCTTTTTCGCCTAGCAAGCGTTCTCCCTATAAAAAGCCACAAATGTCTGCTTAACAACACTGCGACGTGTCGGCTGTGACTCGCCACAAACTTAAGTCACTGGCCCGTGGATATTCGGAAAATGCTATCCAACCCACAAAACTCAATCGCTTATTCTCACCTTCCTGACGATAACAGACAAAAATTCTGCTGCTCATTCAAAAACGCACGCTACATTCTTACACAATTACTTACGTATGTACACCCATAAACTAACATACACTGTTATGCCAAACATGTCCTTTTGTACAATTTGATCACACTATGTTAGCTAAATATGATCAGGCCTGTAAAGGTGTGTCTCGCATTGTCGAGAATAAAAATTTATTTATTTATTTATTTATTTGTGAAGACGGGACAGATGACAGCTTCCTTCCATTAGGAAAGTAATACAGAGCTGCCAAGCGATTGCTGAAACACGATAGCAAGCAGGTCACTTAGTTCCGCAGCTAACTCATGCAACAGCTTCAGTTGAATTAAATCATGCACAGACATAGTAGGATTACGCCCTTGTACCCGTCTACGAAATTCCCTCTCCGCTGTAATAAATTCAGGTAGTGTAGAACACTTTGGGATCCTACAAACCAGCTGAAGGCCAGCCAACGAGGTTAGGTTTACACTTGCTGCTGCATATTGGTCAATAAGTACACAGGCCTCGTCATAATCCGTAGGAACATGAGTACCGTCATCAGGCATAAACCCTGGAATTGACATGTTGACCAGAAGGGTCTTTTGACATACGCGAAAAATCTTTTTGGACGCTATGAAGCTTCGTCTGCTAAGGCTTTCTCGGAATGGAGCCGAGCATTCCTTTGATGTTGCTTTCTCCGATTACTAGCCCCACGGTACCTGTCATAAGTATCGGTGGATGAAGCTTCACGGTAAGTCCGCCAACATTTATACCACTTTGAGGGCAGTTGCCTGCCAGTGAAATGTATTCAGGTGGCTGTGTTCCCGAGTCCTTTCACCTTATGACTGGGATGAAAGGAGCAGAGACCTCGGTGAGGTATGACTTAGATTTATCCTTAGCAGCCTGGACAGCATAATCGCCTGAGATCTCACAATGGAAACTCAAAGGCCTGGCTTGCATTGATTGCTTGGCTGCGTGCCATATGTTCGCGCCAGACCCAACAGTACTCTAGTAGCGTCTAGACTGGGTGCAACAAAAGAGCAAACAAACAAAATCACTACAACCCCGTGGAGGTCCGCAAGTAACGCCACCAAAAATCTAGTAAATTAGCAAACCCAAGGTCTAAGGTAGACAGTACTAGGGCGTCCATGTACCTAATGGAGAGGGGGACAGACTGCTGCAATGGTACTTGGAGTGTAGGCTCAAGTAGATCAGCGCCAAATGTTCTTTACACCTAGTTGCAAGAAAGAGCTGGCCAGCAAACCTCTGGAAGGTTGAAGTCGCCCTTCACGAAACACCTGTTTGCGGACTGGGAGCGAATAAAGTCAACTACCACTTTGGTTACAACTGTAACCTGAGACGAAGATGTGCTAATTACAACCGACAGAGCTGCAACAGTTCTGGCTGAGGACTGAAATAAGCATGTAGTCAAAACGTCAGATGTACAGCTCAAATAAAGAGCGATGCCTGCTTCATGTAGACCAGCGGAGTGATCGCAACTAAACAGTGCGTAGCCAGCTAGTTGTATTTCACCACCAGTAATGTTCCGAGACAGCCTCGTTTCATTAAATGCGAGCATTTCGAGATGAGGCCTATTTACACGTAGACCGTACTCACACACAGTATTCCTTAGGCTGCGCGCATTACTTACCACTATCTGAAGGTTGTTGCTAGGTCCAAACCTGGGTCGTGCGCTACCGGCATGGGCAGCGGTAGGGCGGAAAATGATTGCCGGCTGAGCACCCGATAAACCCACTAATGACAGACCACGGTTATCGGGCGCTCAACTGCTTTTGATGTGCTTAATCTCCTACCTTAGCTTCAGCCTATCGGTCAGCGGAAGGTCCGGCTGGACGCTAAGAATAATACTTTTTACCTTAAAAGCAAACCGCCTGTGGGTGTTGCGTTCCTGTGGGCTAGAGAGTACCACATGCAGTAGCCGCGGTTATGGGCTTGGTGAATTAACTGGGACGTCCTCCAGGCTATTCAGCTTCCTGACGATAGGGCCTGGAAAACCAGGCAGAAGAAGCTTCAGTACGCAAATAGTAAAGCATTGAAGTTCATGCAACATGCGATCAGCAGGAAGCACAGCAGCTGATTCAGTCGCTGTACGGATTATGGCACCACAATATATGAAAATATCACCACAGTGGAGTGTATTAACCCCATGTGTCTTTGCTTTGACAATTAGAGCAGGTGGCTTCACCGCTGGTGCTGGGACTGTCCTTGTCCCCTCAGATGAGGTTGCAACGGCAGCGTCTTTTCACTCTATTGTCAACGTTGTATTTTTCGGGTCATCAAGTCCAACGGAAAGCTTTATGGCAGAGTTGGTCGGCTTTTGTTTCTTGAGAACGGGAGCAGTGTTCCTTGATGCTTTATCGATTTGAGCGGAGTCAAGCGAAGCATCCGAAGGTGCCGTATCGGTGAGCGTCGACATATCCGGCACTGTCGACTGACAAGTATTGCGTGTTAAAATCATCGCGTCCGCACAACCGTCAGGCGGCTTGACAAGTAACGCTCAGTGTAGCTTTAGCCAAGACCTCCAAAGCAGCTTCATGTCTGTGTTTGGAAGGCTTCTGGATGGGTGGGACAACGATTAGTGCCACAACTCGAACTCCAGTGTAAGCGATTAAAGCTGCGTTGTTGGAGACCGAAAGAGTAGTCAGGCGTAGGTCAACCTTAAAGTGAAGACCTGAGGGCATTGAGAACGGACGCTCTACATGTCGCAGCCGGGGACCAAGGGATCCGTCGCTTGTACGAAATACCGCGCGGCCTTGCCGGCAGCTGCAGTCGTTGGCACATCTGAAAAGCAAGTTTTCGCTGGAGATAAGAGCTGCATACTGCTCGGTATTCGAGTCTGTGATAGCTGGTAGTATCAGCGGTTGCAGTCGTCGCAATGCATGCCAACGGAATCGGCAGTTGCTGACATATTGCAGCTTGAACTGCCACAAAGTGCGATGGCATCAGAATCCGAATCACCTGGAAAGACAGCCGCAGAGTGTTACGAGACCGACATGGTGGAAAACAGGGTGGAAGTAGAACACACAAACTATAGTAAAACGACCGCAATTAATGGGCAAAAGCAGTGTGCAAAACGGGAGTAAAACGGGAAACAACCGAAATAGTTACTAATGGGTGTCAAGAAGATTTGACCGGTACCACTCAATCGATCCAAGCTACATTGGATCAGAAGAATTAAGACAATAGTGGAATGCCGATTAAAGCGGTTATTCAGACAATGTTTTCCACCATATTGTATCAAAAAATTCTCGTAGTAGACAACAAGATAGCCCGCTCAAATGTGTAATTTACGGCCAAGGTGGAAACCGACTAGCTGCAATAAAACGAAGAATAAAGTTACTTGAGCATCATGTTTCTTACAGTCTTTTAATCGACCTTGAAGTTGAACTTGAGGAGTATCTACAGTTAGTGTCCTCCTGTCATGAATGAGGCTGCAAATCTGGATTCTGTCCATCATCTCCGTGGGGGTAAGGGCAGTTGTTGCTCTATGAGTGTCTTCATTAGAGACAACTCATTTCAGAGAAAATTCTCTTCACTCTGAGGCAGGCTTTGCTTTTCCAACGGCTTATTTTGTAGATGTTGGCATTTTTTGCACCAGTGTCGTCTAGTAAAAGCTCCCCATATATGTCCACTAGTGCTGCACGGACCAATATCATTGAGAATGCTAAACCGTATACTAAGACAGTCACTCTAGCTTCTGAAACCAATATTAGCCTCGCAGAGAGTAATGCCACGGAACGGATTTGTCACATACAACGTTCGAACAACGATACCGCTACAAGTTTTGCTAGAAAGGCGCAACAGTTCGGTTCATATTCCTCATCCAAGACAGATATGCCCTTGTCTCTTGATGTTAAAGGGAACAATCATAATGGCAACATCAACTACAAGGCTACTGCGTCTAATGGTGTAACTCACGAACCCTCCGTATTTTCGGTCCCTAAACGATCGCTCTTCTCCAGTGTCCTGAAACGATTTTCTATCCAAAGGAGTAAAACGCCGGAATCTGCTAGACGTGTTGAGACCGGCGCTGTAACCATTGACCAAAAAAAGCACATTTTTGACGAACATTCCAAACCTCGCAGGTTTCGTCGGTGGTTGACCCAAAGAATTCGGAAGCGTAAATCTAAAGGTTAGTCACTCCTTCCACTCCACTTTTTCCATACGATTACTTTTGACCAACCCGTTGCGTGATGTGTCGCAATAGTTATCGTGTATAAAAATGACTGCCTCAGTCTTCTCACTGTTACTGTGCTCTCGTGCCCATCATTAATGCTCCGTAGATCATTACATATAGAGTAGTTAAAACACACTCCCTACAAGTTTCTCGGCTTTGAATCGCAATGTGTAGCGCACAAGACGTAATGATACATTTCTTGTTTTTGTATTTGAGGCATCTCAGTGTGTTCCATCGCCACGCTTGTAGTGTGCCTTTAAGGCACCCTTCCTGTACATTTTGGTTATTGTTCGGTTGCTTCACGGTGGGTTTTGTTTACAGTGGTGCACGGTGCATTTCCGCTTCTGCGTTTTATGATTTGCAACATTGTTTATGCTTGTGCATTGACAATTTTTCTTGCTTGCCTTTAGTAATCTGATACCATCATCATCATCAACAGCAGTACCAGTCATTTGAACTGATGCTTCGCTGACATACAACCATGACCTATGAAACAAAGAATAAGAAGAGGGAGAGAAGGGGGACTTACCTGAAAACCTTAATTCCATAAGCGAACTGGTACGCTACCATCAGAGTCCATTCATCATGACTCGTTATTCGGACGAAAGGAAATAACGTGCCATAAAAGCGCGCCCAGATATACATCTACAAGGTCATCAAGAAAAGTATATTTTTCGGATCGACTAGTTAGTAGACCTAGGTGTTAGTATGAGCTTCATGGCTTCGTGACTACCGTATCTTAGATAATGGTCTGTATGACTTATCCCTTTCGCAGGATCCAAAAATCACCCTTCGATATTGCTAGTCGGCAGGCACACGACATAAATGGCCAGCCCAACCTTGGTGATTCCATCGCGAACAAAAATAGCTTACCAAACATCCGCGGGAAAACTATTCTAACGTTGCGCGCTTTGCCTACTTCGATTCATTGAACTCTGCTGGGTGGTGCGCTTAGACCGCTTGAAATCCACTTTCGCCAGATTGGGCTGTGTTTAGAAATCAGAGACTCGGTCTCTTAGCCCTCCGTGTTGGGAATTGGAAATAGAGTCAAACAATCAAATCACTCAACAGCAGTAGTACATCAGCCACTTGAACCGATGTTTCGCTGCCCTACAACCATGACGACCTATGGAATAAACGTTAATAAGTGGAAGAGGAGGTGGACCTAAGGCAAAACCTTAATGTCCTAAGCAAACATTCAGGGTCAAGGCGCCTACACCTTGTGTAGACAACATACCGTCACAAACAGCTGGCTGATGTACAAGATAAGGCGGCATCGGCGAGACAGCTTCCTTGCGGCTTTCACTGCCACCCGTCATAATTGGCCATTACCCCGCAGATAACTCAGCACCAAACACACTTTAAACAGGTAGTCCGACTAGGAGATGGCAACAGACCCACCAGTGGTGTCGGTTGTGAGCCATGTCCTGTAAAGTCTCGAGCCAAGCACAAGGCGAGTCACGTGGACTCCAGCCCGGAAGGCGAGGCGGACCAACGGCATTCATTTTGGTCATCGGTGACTTCATTTCCCGCTGCCAAGTCAAGTTCTGTCCACCACGAACGTTGCGCCACCGTACACCTGGTAGACTAAACAAGGCCCTCCTAGGTAAGCGGTTACCAAGCATATGTAGCACGTGCCCAAGCCAACACAACTTATGCAGTGCTATCTGTTGCTCTAAGGAGCCAGCATGATTATCACTATCTAGTTTTCACCCACGCATATCATTGTTGCGAAGTAGCTGGTGCCACCCAACACCAGCGATGCTCCGCAGACAACGATACTCAAAGACTTGAAGGCGCCTCAGATGTTAAGGACGAGGGGGACAAGCCTTATTCCCATAGAGCACGACGACTCGCTGTGGCCTTCTAAACAGGGGCTTTCAGACGGAAGCACACTCTCTCCTACCGCCATAGAGGCCGAAAGTTCAAGAAGGTATTTCTGGCTCCTGCAATGCGTGAACTGACTTCGGTTTCTCTGCGTCCATCTTTTCTGATGCAGCTGCCAAGGTAAATGAAGCAATAAGCCACCTCGAATTCCTCTTTATCAACGGTGGTCCTGCAGCAACACTACACTTTGAAGGTACGAAGCGCATACTGAATAGTGGGACAACTCTAGTGAGGATATTTAGGGTTGCTTGTGCCCCCCAACATCGTCAAAAAGCAAGACGATATCGTCCGCATAATCAAGCTCACCTAGGTTTTCACCAGGCAGGACTTCGACGCCTACATCGTGAAACTCCGTGAGGGAACATTCCATAATGGAGTCCACGACGAAATTGAACAGAAACGGGGAAATCGGACAACTCTGACTGGAAATCGGAATGGTGTCCGTTTATGAAATACCTTATCGATGTCTCTTTGCCTCCTAGTAGTCAAGCTTTTAAACCAATGGCTTTGGTTGAGCACCCCCATCGTTCCTCCGTCTAGTTTTAAGCGCTCTAGAAGTATCCCAGCCTACGTACAATCATGAATAAGCGAAACCATGCTGCTGCTGACACCTTTCTTCACCTATTTCTCCTACTCCTTTCCCTACCTAACTGCTGACGTCACTTGACAATTTCTAGCTTAATTGCCAACAGTTGCTGTGCTGTTGAAGTTCTGCCATCTGCAACTAAATCCCAAAAGGAGCTTTTGGATTCATGTCATATTACCTCTTTATAATGCTTCACTGTCCTATTTCTCTGGCGGCTTTCAGAGTTCCTAACATGAACTTTCACGCACATTAGACACACTCAGCATCGACATGTGCCGCGTTTGTCAAACGAGTTGCGTCCAATCTGTCCTGTCGTCTTTCATTGCATGCATCTGACCGATGAAGAAAACACTGGTGACGCTGGGATGGCTATCACTGTCAGTCCCAAAACGGAATTATCGTTGGTCAATTAGTTTTCTTGGAGCACTAATTTGTATCCAGACTTTCTGAAGACACCAACAAAGGATAACTTACAGGGTAACACTAAACACTGGTCTTTGTTGTTTTTGCGTATGCCCCAACTGACTGCAGTTTTGATGCTGCCGATGATACCTCCCACACTGCTTCCCAGTGTTACCATTTAAGGTATCGTTCTACTTGCATGGGATATGCATACGCAACTAAGTCATCTAAGCTCCCCAGCTAGCGTATCTTGAAGTGGTGCGCCGAGCAGCACATGTTGTTTTTACCAACGCCCTTCAACTGCATTGAGCGCCAATTTGCAACGGCGTCCTGTGATGACTAGTCAGTGATGGTCCCAAGTAGATCACATTGCTATGTGTTCGATGGTGCGGTTCCATCCTTGACTGTCGCTCTTTCTGAACCACATTTGTCGAATCTGGTCAGGTCTTGGTTCGTTGCCGACTTTCCATGAGCTCCGCAGGCAAGCATATACAACTCTTCTTTCGATTGGCAACTGAGGAGTTATCTCAATCTCAGTAAGGCAGATCACCAGAATTCCTTACTTACCAGTATTTCACCTAATTGCTGTATAGATATCGAACTTTATTTGGGTAGTATCTCGGCCGCTTTGCACGTGGCTAAAGTCGAGGTTTACAGCACTCAGTGGTCATCTATCAGTCGATGAATATCAGAGACATTTATGAACCTTTTGGAATCCAGAAGCAAAATCCCTGCGGGTTCTGAACGCAGTGTAACAAGCGCCTGATTAGGCGCTAGTTGAAACTGTGCCTGCGCGTTGACTGGGAAGGCTAGTGGACTGATACGGCAGCGAGTAATCAATGCCCACAGTTCTTGTTGACTCGCACCATTGATCCCAATTAGTTATACGTTAGTGAGACTATTAGAGACAGTGCAGGTGCATTGGTTCACTATTAGGGGAACCGTCTGGATAGTTGAGTGGAACACTTTCGATAGTCAATTTCTACTGAGGTAGTGCTGGCTGAGTCTTGGCCAGTTAGTTTAAATGCTGTATCGTAGGCTGAGATTCGAAACATGATCACAGTGCTCGATCGCTTTCAAATTACTGCTTCAGCTGAAGGTGAAACCCACTGCAAATCACTGACCCGTCTGTTCGAATTTGTATAGAGAGAAGCCGTACAAGACAACCAGTGAATGCAGGGTAGTGGTGATATATTGAAAGGACAATCCTACTGACTGTGCTAACAATATGGGTATCAGTCTTTTGGTAGTAGGAACGAAACTACTGGCATCAATCCTCCCTCAACACCTTGCTGCAGAAGAATTCCGGATGAGGAAAGATCATGCAGGTTTTGATCCTAGATGGGGTTGTGTAGCCCATACATTCACTTTGCGACAGGCGCTGGAGCAGCGTCAAACGTACCACATATGGACAATGTCCGTGTTTCTCGATTTCGCGCTTGTATTTGATTAAATCGATCGCTCCATCCTCTTTGTCATACTTGTTTGGATGTTCCCACCAAGTGTGTAAATCTTCTCCATTCCCTGTTCTCGAACACCACAGATGGCACCAGACTTTACGGTGCATCCCCAGACGTCTTTCCAACAACAGGGGGTGTTGGTCAGGGTTGTCCAATTTTCCATTTTGTTCAACTTGTCCTTGATTCCGTCATGGAGTGTTCTCTTTTGGAATCTCATGATACGGGCATTAGAACGTTGCTTGCTGAAAAATTGGTAGATTCGAATTATGCGGACGATATTATTTTGCGGCTCAATCAACTCTAGTTATTCTGTTCGGAGTGGTCCATCGTTTGGTATGCGCTTCGTACCTTCAAAGCGCAATGTGTTGTTGCGTGACCACTAGCCAATTGGTAACCCTTTAACTCTCAACACTGGGGCGTTGGAAGTGGTGGACCGATTCACCCGTCTTGGCATTTACCTTAGCGGCGGTGGACTTAGGGCTGCATTACGAAAGGCAAAGGTGCCTTATTTTACCTGCGACATCTGTGCTGTCAGAAGTGGATTACATTCGGTCTGATAGGTTGTGTATACAAGCCCACAGTGAGGACCGTTCCACTGTATGATAGTGAAACTTGTCCTCTTCGA